AGCAGTCCTGAGATTCCAACCAAAATCAGAGTGGAAAAGACATTTCGGGGTTGCGTTTCTGCGTGTTTGCGCCCCTGACGTGGCAGCTCAGGGGGGGGGGGGGCAGCCCGGGGGGGCAGACGGACGGCAGCAGGTGGGGGAGCCGCTCCCCTGGCGGAGCTGAGGAATGGGGCGGCGGAGGAAGAGGAGGAGGTGAAGATTTGAAATGCCTGGCGGCCCAGTCCCGTTATAGACCGGTCACACCTGCAGGCCTCCACATAATCCCCCCCCCCCCCCCATGCACGCCATGCAGGTCTGGGTGTGGCGGGAACAAGGCCCAGACCTGCATGGCCCCACGTACAGGACCCTGTAAACCAGCATTTTCCATCCCGTCTTCCCGGCTTTTTTTTCCCCCCGATTCTCAGACCAAGCAGAAAAAAGGCCCCTGACTCAAGGGATGAGCCACAACCTAGCAAAGAAGCGGTTTAAAAGGGGCCTTTAGGCACGTTGTGACGATCCCTAAAGACTCGTCTGTTAGCTAAAACGCGCACTTTTCTGAACGAGGCCACCATTGTTTATCTACACTGTTCATGTGAAAACACTGATTTTCATGAAACCATTAGCGAGCTGTTAACTGACAGTTAGCTGAAAGTTAGCTAGCTTGCTGATGGCTGACTGTAACTGGCTGTTATCTAGCCGACTGCGTACTGACTTTAAGATTACTGTTGACGAACTGTTAGCTGACAGTTGGCTTACGTTTGATGGACTCTTAGCTAATTGTTGATTGGCTGCTAGCTCACTGTTGACTAACTGTTGATTTTTGGCTGACCGTGAGCTAACTGTTTACCAACTATTAGATGATGTTGGCTGACTGTCAGCTAACTTTTAGATTAGGTTAGCTAGATGCTGGCTGACTATTAACTTACTGTTGATTGACTGTAAACTAAGCGTTGGCTTACTGTCAGATTATGTTGGCTAACTGCTGGCTGTGTGTTAGATTATGTTGGCAAACTGCTGGCTGACTGTTAGCTAACTGTTAGCTGACTGACAGCTTACTGTTGATTGACAGTTTTATTTTTGTCTGATAGCTCATTGTTGATTGACTGTTATCTAACCGTTGGCTTACTGTTTGAGTATGTTGGCTAACTGCTGGCTGACTGTTAGCTTACTTTCAGCTGACTGTTAGCTTACTTTCAGCTGACTGTTAGCTTACTGTTGATTGACAGTTGATTTTTGTCCGACTGTTAGGTCACAGTTGATTGACTGTTAGCTAACTGTTGGCTAACTGGTAACTGTTGGTTCAGAGAGTCTTAAAACTGTGACGGAACGGTTCAGGGAATGTGGCGGCATGGCATAACCAAAACTTATTTTTGCCGTCCTGTCCCCACCGCGGCCTGTTCAGAGGCTGCTTTTTAAGCCAATTAGAGACACACAACGTGATGATGTTACAGTTGGCTCAGCGCTGGCTGGATTCATGCATCAGGTGTCCGGCCAGAGCAAACAAGCTCCAATCTGGGCTTTTAAAAGCTGCTAAACATTTCTCTGACACAACCCCGCGTAGCACATGACGGACAGCTGGAGATGTGAGATTTATTCATAGACTTCTGTACTATCAGCAGAGCCCAGGCACAGAGTTGTGTAAGAGTTCACAGGCAGGAAATACCGCTGCACCGTCTCACAATTGGTGGCAGACTGAGAGGATAACAAAAAAAAGACAAACTTATTGGGTCTAATTTTAGGACAATCACAAGTCCAAAAAGGAGGGGGGCTGTTTCTATTCCAGGCGTAAGAATTGCGGTCAACAAATGGAAAAAACAGCAGGAAAATCTTCATATTTACTTTACTTTGAGAGATCTGGAGGACGGCTTTAATTGTAAAATTAAGAATGAAAACACAGACACTTTCACAATTGATCCTGATGACACTATAAACAAGGTCAATTTACCAAAAACTCGGCTTAAATTTCAAATTTCTCTTGTTCACATACTGGAACATCACAGTGTTTCTGGAAGGAAAGATAGCTGCTACACCTAAATGAAGTCTCTAGTTATGATTTAACAGAGATTTTCCCCACAAACACCAAAACCGGTTCTTTTGCCCAGACTAGCGGCATCAAAAGTGATGAGAGATGCGCTCCTTTTGCCTCCTCACATTGGATCTGATGGAATATGTGACGTTTCAGACTTTGAAAACAGCGCAGACTTTTCCTTTAAAGCCATTAAAAAGCTCAAATTAAGTGATTTCTCACACCGAATCGCCTTCCTGGAACTGTGACCTCAGAGCCAGAGGTGGCTTAAAGAGCCCCCCCCCCCCCCCACCACCACCACCCCCACCATTTAGATTGATCCTGGGCTGTTTCCTCTCCTATTGGAGACATCAGATGGACAAAACAAGACACGCCTGCAGGCGTCAGCCCCCGGACAGGAAATGCCTCTCTGTAAACAGGAAATAAAGATTTAACTGACAGTTTCAGAGGGAAAACGGGGGGGAAAACGTCTCGCTTTTTGATTTCACCAGATCTGGAGGGAGGCTGTAAAAGGTTAGGATGTGTTAGGATCCGGGGATGGAGCTGGACTCTGCGGTGTGTCTGAGCCCGGGTTCCCGCGGGTCCCCCCCTCCTGTTGGGTCTTCTTTCCTCACCAGGCCTCCAAGGGCCACTCCACTCCCCACACCTCTTGACCCACAAAATGCCCTGAAATGGACCCCACCCACCAGCAGGAAATAGATACCATCGCCATCCATCAGCTCATTTTTGGTGTAATTTGCCCCCCCACACACACACAGCCTCCAAACCAACACGTTTCCACAAACAGCAAATATGCAAATCGGCCCAAAACATTTGGTACAGAATGGCCACCGGTTGAGGGACATTTGACCTCTGTCCATTAGTGTCCACTGTTCTAAGGATAACACCACTAAATGGGGGGGTTCTCATTTTCTGGGGACACTTTCCGAACACACAAATCCACACTGGATTTCATCCAAAAGCAGCATTTTCTGTCAGTCTTTTAAATGGGTTTGAACAGAAGAAAGCAGGAGTTTGCTTTTGGCCATTTCAGCTTAAATGAAAGTCTCATTTCAGGGGGGGGGGGTTAACAGCAAAGAAACCAGCCTGGTGAGACCTCTTTCAAGCCTTTACTCTTATTTTTAAAAGCGGCGTGGAAGCAGGCGGCGCCGGCCCTTTCAGACCCCCCTCAACCCCCGTAAAGGGGTCCCCAGATTCAGTTCTCCAGGCTTTCTTTTAAAGTCTTCCTTCTTAACTCTGAGCAGGCAGAGAAAAAGCCCCTAACTCAAGGGATGAACCAGTACTGTGTCCACTTTTGAGCGCAGAAAAGTTTAAAATGGATCTTTGGGCACGTCGTTTGTTCATGTTTCTTTAAAAAAAGTGATAAAAAAGAGCCCAGTTTGAAAGACAGATCCCACAAATTCCCCTTTAAGTGGAGAAAAAAACGTTTTTGATTGGCTGCTGTTGTCTTATTTAGATATCAGTCGCATGCCAGTCGTGTCAGCAGCCCCGAAAAACCACCAGTGGCTTTGGTCATGTGACCCGGCGGCCGGCATGTGCTGGCCGGGGCCCAGCGGAGGGTGTGTCCCCCCTGTTTTTGGGGGGGGGGGGGGGGGGGGTGGGTGGGACCGGGCCGGGGGGCCAAATGGATCCTATGACCGGCCGACTGCAGCTGTTGCTGCTGTTTAACGCTGAGACAGGAGCTGCCAGCCAGGGAGGCTCATCAATACACCCCCCCCCTCCCCCCCAAGCGCCAGAACCGGGCCCGATTCAACCGATTTAAGCGGGAAAACAGCGGCAGCAGAACTCAGTTTTCCTCAACTTCCCAACTGGCCCTGCCAGTGGGTCTTTTTAGGAATAATCCAGGTCATTTTCCGGTGTTTTTTAAGGCCGTTCTCCTGGCAGAGCGCCTCCATAAACTCAGTGTGGCGACATGCCATCGACCCCAGTGAATGCAGGAGTGTGCGAGCGGCCACATAAACACAAGCGGCAGCTGTCTTGCTAAAACCGTCTTTGCACTTAAACAGCCCTCCATTGTTCCGCTCTCCAAAGTCAGCAGTGTGGAGCCTGCAGGCTGCTCCGTAAACTATTCCCCAGCTCCCGGGCTCCTAAACCCGGCGTCTCACCGTATCAAACAAGCTTTTTCTAAGGCCATTTTTTAAGCCCCGGAGCAGAGGCCGACCCCAGAGGGCCGAGCCACCCTCAGGAGGCCCCAATCGGGCCACCTGCTGCCCTCCTGCAGCTCGTTTTCCAGCAGGAGCAGCAGCAGGAGGCTCTTCGGCCTCAGCAGGAGGCTTCAGGGAAGCCCCCCTCCCCACCACCAGCCTACCTTCAACTTTGGGCCTGGTTCTGTCTCCAAGTGTCCCAGTTCCACCTGCAGAAACCAAGCCTCAGCCTCCTCCCTCCGGCAAACTTTCACCTCCTGTCAGTCAGCTGCTTCCTGCAACTGCTCGGTGGTGCTTCTCACAGCTGGTGGTGGTGGTGGGGGGGGTGGAGGGAGGGATAAAAACACACCACTCTTCCCCCTTTCTTTGAGCCTGAAGCCTCTGGGCCCTGTCTCCAGCCAGTTGCTGCCCTCACTGAGAGCCAGGCCTGGCCCAGGACCATGCCAATCCTAGGAGGGACGCATCCCGCCGCCTGATTGGCCAGAAAAGGCAGAGAGATGCCCCCATATTAGGGCAGCAGGGGGCGGGGCTGCTCTACTACAATAAAGGAGGGAGGAAAAGGAGATAACAAAGTTTGCGACAGGCCTGCAGAGCGGTGGAGCTTCCTCCAAAAGTCTCTAAATCAAAAGCTGGGAAAAGGGACCCAGATGTTTAAAACACCAATAAAAGCACCTTAAACGGACCTCTAACACTTTAAAGCTGAAAACCAAAAAGTGTCCGAGCTCTAAATCTGAAGAAGTTCACATCAGGCAGCTGTCTACAGGAACTTAAGGTGGTATTGACAGTTGTTTGGCACATCAGAACGCAGAGTTAATGATACATCCCCTCTAAATCGTTGGCGTCGGGCTATAAAACACGGGTTCAAAGGTCAGTCTTGCATTGAAAAATTACTCTGCTGTTCGACTCTGAACTGTGAGCTCCAGATCTGGAACAGAGAGCCGATTCCCACCCCCCCGTCAGACCCAAACACACCAGAAAACGCAGACCTGGCTCACTCTCTGGGAAGTGGTTCAGACCCTCAAACCGGAGCGGCGCTCCCTGGATCCCCTTTTGGAGGAGGTGTATTTCAGGCCGGCAGCTGTTGTTGTGAGCTGGATCCTCCGTGTGCGTGTTAGAGTGTGTGTGCTTTGGGTTTTATTGTATGGGACATTGTAAAAATAATAATCCACCATGGAAATGCGCCCATCAGATGAGCAGCAGACACAAAAGGAGCTGGTGGGGGGCTGATGGATTCCCTGGACGTGTTCTAGACTGTCTCACGGCTGTGGAGGAATTTTGACCCTCTCTGCTTTCCGTTGTTGCCTCAGCTCTGGAAAAAGGATGGATTTTCTCCCCTAGTGGAGGAGTAAAAGGATCTGGATGTGCAGCTCTGAGGGATGGCAGTTTGGAGTCCAACCTTTGCTCACAGAGACCTAAAGAACGAGTTTCCTTCAGAGGGGGGCGGAGCTCCAGTATCCAGAGTCTCTGAGTTAGTTCATCTGGTTAGGAGGCCTCCTGGTCCCTCCTAGACCTGCTGCCTCCAGGACCTGAATCGATGGACGGACCAGTGCGTCCAGCAGGCTGAGATTTGACCCCGAAGGACCAGATAGTCCCACAAGCCTGACTCTGGACTCTGATGGACCACAGAGTCCACCAGACTGAGCTCTGGACTCTGATGGACCACAGAGTCCACCAGGCTGAGCTCTGGACTCTGATGGACCACAGAGTCCACCAGGCTGAGCTCTGGACTCTGATGGACCACAGGGTCCACCAGGCTGAG